TATTGAATACATCACCTTTGTATTATATATATATATATATATATATATATATATATATATATATGTGTGTTTTTTTTTATATAATAAAAATAACTCTCTTATGTACTATTACATTGTGTTTTAACATGATATCAAAAGAAGAATAAAGAATTTGTCATAATTACCTTATAGTTGCTTGAAAGCAATTACATTGAGCATACAAAGTTGATAAGTATTTGTTGAGGATTAAAAAATGTCTAGTGACTCTCTACAAGTTGGCAAGGCCAATAAATTAATTAGAGAGGATAACTATTATATATAGAGCTTGAAGATGAAGACTTTCTTGTGAATTGAAAGTCTTTAGGATTTCACCATTAAAAAGCTCATACCAACAATATATCCATGTTCATACCATAGGCATATATTATCAAAGATTTAAGTATATGAGATAAACATGAAGGCTATAAAAATACTAACATTTGATATAAAAGATTATCTTGTAGATATAGTGATAGAGTATGAAGACCTTACAAATGCATGGATGGTATTAAAACAAGAATATGAAAGTGAAGTCCTTATTATGGAACTCAATCTTAACTATGTATTATCTACAATGAAGTTTTAAAACTTTATCTTTGTGGATGAATTTTTAAGGATATTATAAGAAATCAAGAATTGGCTTGAAGCACTTGGTAAAAAAATTCCAACTAAGAATCTTGTGCAAATTATCTTGAATAGCTTTTCTTTCTCATTTAATAGTTTAATATTAATTTTAACTTCAACAAATTAGTTTCTAAGCTTTGAGAAAGTACTATCAAAACTCATATCAAAAGCTCATAGACTACAAGTAGGACCAAATATAATTGATAGTTCTGAAAGTGAGGCTTTTATCTATACAAAATTTTAGCTAAAAATTCAACACAAGGTATACAAGACAAAAGACAAATTATTTATTTTGAAGAAGAAGACTACATTTTTCCATAGAACAAAGAATTCAAAAGAACTTTTGTTTTGAAAAAGACGCACATTTAATCTATTGCTATGTCTATGAAAAACCAAACAATATGGCCAAAGATTATAGTTTTAGAAAGTTACTACTAAATGTTAATAAATCTACAATTAGAATTGTTAAACTTAAAGATACTTCATTAAATTGTGAACAAGAAGAAACATTTAAAGAAGTTAAGTAAATTTTACCAAAACCATGAAAAAGAGAAAATAAGACTTTAATTGGTATCTTGACAATGGAGCCTTGCAATATGTAACAAGCAACAAGTATACTTTGAGACCTCTTAAATCAACAATATAATTTCATAAAATTATAATTGTTGGAATAGAACCACATAACATATCTGGACAAAGAGAGATTTTGATCAAAATTGATAATAGATTAAGTGAAATTGATAATAGAAATCTCACTTATTCAATTGTCAGAAGATAAGAAAATTAGAGACCCTTCAAACTAAATTAGAAGCAAATAAATGTGCGCCACATTATTAGTTTATACCACAAGCTTTCAATACATATAATATATAGCTAATTTATTGGCCAAGTTTTTAACCTATTAATAACCTATATACATGTATAAAAGTGAAATTACATCTACAAAGCTTCTAGAAAGCTTTTCTAAAAGTTATTATGAAATTAATATACTTTTACTTACTTTTATCTATTTATATTATATAAGTAAGTATTATAATAAAAATGTATATTTTATGATACAAAGTGTTATTTTTCTTGGATTTTGAAAAACTAAAAATGATTTATATAATATCAACTAAACCACAACAAAAATTAGCTCTATTATTATAAAGAAATCAGAGCTATGGAATAATAGATTTGGACATTTAGCATATTCAAGATTAAAACAACTCTATATAAATAAAAAAATAAAAATATTAACTCCTATTGAAATTGTTGCTAAAGAAGTATACAAAGCTTATAATATTGTTTACCAATATAGGAAGAAATTTCTTAAAGAAAGCTTCAACAAATCTAATAAAAGTTCTACAAATAAATCATATTGATTTAGTGGGAACTATTTTAAAATATTCTTTAAATTATATGAGACTATTTTGAAGCAAATAAAATAGAAAATATAAAAATATTGAATAAGAAACTCAAAGAATAAAATAAATAAATAAATAATGTAGAAATTATGTGACTTACTAATTGAAAAGAAGCCTATAACATATAAATAGATTTTTAAAAAGAAGACAAGAGTTGAAGAAAATCTTAAGAAATATAAGGCTTAATTGGTTGCTTGAGGCTTTGAACAATAAGAGGAAAAAGACTTTGAAACCTTCATTCCTATCATAAAAAAAAAAAAAAAAAATTAGAACAATTACCAAATTAGTTGGATCTCATCAATGGCAAATAAAACAATACAATATCAAAACTATATTTTTAAATGGTGTATTATAAAAAGAAGTATATATAAAAACTTTATATGGTTTTGAAGAACACATAAATAACAAGAAGGTTTGCAAACTCAAACAAGTTTTATATGGCCTTTAAAAATCTTCTCAAGCTTAGTATAGAAGAATTGACAAATATTTGCAAAAGATTAGATTAAAAAAGTCAAATGCAAATCCTAATCTCTACATTTGTTACCATAAAAATTTATATATATTTTTAATTCTATATGTAGATGATTTAATAATCACAAAAAATGATACAAAAGAAATATTAGAAGTTGAAAAGAGATTACAATTAGACTTTAAAATAACAAGTAAGAAAAAAATTCAAAATTATTTAGGTGTAGAGTTTAAACATTCAAAACATAGAATAACTCTTCATTAGAAAAATTATGTAAATTTTATTCTTAATAGTTTTGGAATATAAAATTTTAATCATTGTGTAACTTTAATAGATGAAGATATGTAATTCCAGAATAAATTAAAAGCGAATTAATTGATGAAACCTAAGTACAAAAAACTTATTGGAAGTCTTTTGAATTTATCAAATATTGAAAGTTTTGATACTAGTTTTATAGTTAGTAATATAAGTTTGTATTGAACATCACCACAAAAACCTCATTAAAAAGCTAGAATATTCATTTTGAGATATTTAAAAGGAAAAAATAATCTAAGAATTCATTATTCAAAAAGAAAACTTGAGTACATTTTTACTTATATTGATGCTAATTGAAGACATGATATTGATTCAAGAAGATCTATCTTAAGTCTTCTATATATGCTTGGTAATTCAACTCTTGACTAGAGTCCCAAATCACAAAGTACTATTATCTAACCCACAATTATAGCACAATATTGTATTTTTTTTGAAGGTGCCAAAGACATTACATAGTTAAGAAGATTACTTAAAGATTTATATATTCAAGTAGAAGTAGTAACACCAAACAAAATATATTGAGAATATCAAGCATTATGTTTGAAGTATAGTTTGAACAAAGAATAAATTTAAAATCTATGTAAAAAGGTACTTTGAATACATCACCTCTATATTTTTTATATAATTTTTCTTATAGAATAAAAATCTCTCTTATGTACTATTATATTGAGTTTGAATATTGTATACAAATGAATTGTGTAATTCATAGTTACATAACATTATGTCAATTGTTTTTTGATACTATACTTTGGAACATTTAAATTCTTGGCTTTTGAATACTAAGACTTATTATTTGGATTAGCTTCTAATGATTGCAAAGGATTGTATACATGTCCACTAGAAGTATGAATATTACATTCTATTTTGTTTTAAATTATAGCATATGATTTTATTGTCTCTATATAACTTTACATTTTGAAGTTATTTTTCATTAATTTCTTGTGTTTTTTTATTTTTTATATATAAATACACACACACACACACACACACATATATATATATATATATATATATATATATATATATATATATATATATATATATATATATATATATACATATATATTGAATTAATTATTTTTATCATAATTTTCTTCTAAAAATAGATTCATTTACATAGATAGAACTTATTAATGAAATTTTGATGATCATATTTAATAGGTATAAATATTTAAAAAATTAAAAATCATAAAATTATGTAAAAATAAAATAAAATATATTATTAAATTATTTAATAAAATTTTAAAAATAAATTAACTCTTCTTGAAAAAAAATGTTTTAAGATATTATTTGCTTGAATTTATTTAACTTAATTAAAAATTTTAAAAACTTAAAGAAGTCCTCCAAAAAATGAGCTATATATTAAAAATAAAATTAAAGAAATTAATAAACATATATGTATATCTATATCTATATATATATATATATATATATATATATACATATATATATAACAAGCACTTGGGACCAAAGAAACTATTGATTATGTAGTATAGCATAGTGCAAATAGTGTAGATTGGGACTTATAAAATAAATTGGTTATAATCCAAAGTTGGCTTTAATAAGATTGACTATAACATGCACTAACCATATATGAAGATTGAAAAACTTTTTTATTCATTTATATGATCATTTAAATATATTAATAATATTTATTATTATAGATACATAGAAAAGATAGACAAATATATCAAAATGTTATCATCTTTAAATAGTTCCTATATAGTACTAAAATAAAATCACTTACAATAAAATTTATTTACTTAAACTCAACATCACCTTTAAAAAAAACATATTCAAAATAAAAAATTCAGAAAAAGTAGAAAAATTAAACTATTAAAAAAAAAAATTAACAAAGAATAAAACTGAAATTTATTGAAGCATGATTTAGATGAAATCCAATAAATTTTGATAAACTGGAAATCAAATGGAAGAACAGGAAAAAAGAAACAAACAAATAAACAAACAAAAAAACAAACAAAAACATCATATGCCTCTTGATATCAATACCCTTATTCTATGCATGAAAAATGTGGCATTGTTTCATTAAAGCTGATTTTTAAATTTTCAAACGGGGCCGGGCACTGGAATCCGGTGACACGTCACTGGATATTGCTCACCCCTTCTCTCGGGTGCTGTTGCTCTCGCATGCATTTCCTGCATCCTTGTTTACGGATCAAGGAGCTTAGCGATCACAGCTTTCGACATTTGTTTTCTTGACCGTTTCTTTGATTACTTTTAGCGAACTTGTCCGAGAAACACAGCCCCGACGACCTTATGTCTTTTGGAGCATTAGTTATGGATTCGTGGTGATGGAATATGAAATCGATGTTTTAGCGGTATCAACTGTGATTTCCTTGACGTGATTATAGTGCGTGGTTGTCGGAAGCGTGCATTGTTCAACCGACGAGGAGAGTATACTTCGAGACTCCGAATCCACGGTACGACTGTTTCGTTGCTTTTTTCTGTTTTTAGTTAAGAGCATGTGTTGTGGACCAAGAAATAATCCTTGATTGGTTACTTGTATGATTGGCTAAAAGTGATGTTCATTTTACTCTTGACAAGATAATTGCAGTGATTAGACTTGAAGCTTATACAGGTCGTAAATTGTGAAAGAATAGCGTGGAACAGGTCGGTGCCAGAATGAATAAACGCAGTGGCGACTTACAAAACTTGTAGACTTAGGCATTTTCTTAGTGCTCTTTTTCCTGGCGCAGATGCAGATTTGCACGCGCACAGGCGTTGTCGTGATCAGCCCTGACTTATGTAGTTGTTGAGTCTGAGCGAATCCACATGTTCAATCCAAGCTCCAGCGTCTTCATGAATTCCGAGCAACTATGATCTGTGAATGAGAGCGTACCTAGAAAAACTTAAAGAACACTGAACGAACAAACAATCCTCAGTCGCGGCTGGTCATACACAGCTATGGCAAGGATGAAGTTTAGATGTCCTGGATTGAACCACTCCATACATTCTTCCGATCTGACAGAAAAGAGCCGTCACTTAATTGTCCTACCTATACCTGATGATCTGCCCTCCTCTATTGGAATATTTGACTGCAATGCTAACGTCGAGAGGTCTGGTAGGATTACCTGGGCCCTCGAAGTGCTTATAAAGTATATGCAAGTGATAGATATTAAGAATAATCCGACGATGGACCTCGATATATCATATCCGACATGGATAGGAGAAAAGCTAATTTTGCTACTTCTCCCAAAACCACTAGCATGTTGCGTTTGTGGTTTCGGTGACGGTCCAATTCGACCTGTGGAAACATGTGCCTGGTTTGAAAACGATACCTCCACGAATGATTCAGGAAGCGAGTGTCGACTAGAGCAAGAGATCAAGCTCGACGTGGAAGAACTACCCTGCAAAACAAAAGAACAAATTAATAAGACCTTGATAAACTTAACCTCGCCTGTGGACAAAGCAGCGGATGATTTTACGAAACTGAAGGTTTACCCCAGACTTTCAATCAAAAACTACATGCTGTTTTTCCACAACCTGACCAGGAAACGATGCAAGAAATGCAGTTTATTTCTGGAGTTCTCGATGCACTCGTGCATGCGTATTTATCAGTTGCTTGTGGAGTAATTACTGATTGTTCTAATGGAATCTATTTATGCTCATGAGAGTCCTTTCGAGGATCTACATTACAAATCACCCTCGATTGCCGAATTAATCTCTAGTTCAGAAAGTGTGCTTGCAATCAATTTGATTTGGCGTGATTAGATTTAGAGGCTGACTCAAGGTCGAATTTAAGCACATATATCTCCATTGTATCCTGTGCGTGTACAGGTGATGGACTTCGAATCTGCGTCAATCTCCGACCCACTCCTTCCCACTAAGGAAGAACATTTACAGAAATCCTTACTTGTGCTCGAAGATGCGGGAGGCCAGACCAACTTGGAAGCAGATGACAAGCTTGTGAAAACGATTTCTCAGATACGTTCTTCTAACGGCTGTGAAATGTGGAACTTTTCTGAATTTCCGGATTCGCACGATGTGGAGCCTTGTTCTATACCTATAGTCAGAAATCAGAAGCCTAATGATCCTGAGGTTCTCAACGACCTTGCATGCCTGCTGGACAGCGTCGGTTCCATAGCTCCCATGAGTGAGGAATATGCTCCAGAACTTCAAATAAAAAAGCAGCCTCCTGATCCACAGAATGGTCCTCACTCTGTTTCTGTGAGGGAGAACATGATGGAAGAGGTGAGCATGGTTTCAAATGTAGAGACAATGGGAGTAAGTTTCAGGCTCCAAAAAATGTCTAAGAAGCTGGAGCTCATAAAAGTTGACCGATTTGAGCAAATTCCAAGCCCAGAACATCGGTCTCATGATATTTCGGACGCGAATGTTGCATCGAGATTCGTGGACTTCGTGGATTTAACTAGTTCAGATGATTCCTTTCTTAAGAATTCGATGCCTTCTGATGCTAAACCAAAAAATGATAAAATACGTCAAGAGCATCAAGTACCAATTGAAATGGGAGCTTCAGGGACGACCTTAAAGTTCACGGGTAAGGGATCTCCCTGCACAGTCCCAGATCACGACAATTCAGATCATTCGACAATATCAGACGAGAAAACCACGTGCTCAACTGGTTCTGAGTTGCACTCTTTCAATATCGGCGTCGTCAAAGGTGTCAAGGATTCATCAGTCATGAACGGAAAGCATGCTCATATGGGAGACACCAGTCATAAAAATAATTCTCAAATCCTCCAGGTACATGTTGCACTTCCAAGTATGTGTAAGAAAATTGCAGCACGCTTTAATGCCATGAGATAACGCAACAAAATAAATAAGCTTAAACCTATCGCTGTTGTTGACTTGCTGATCTAGGTTTGTAACGCGCAGCGCTTGCATAACCATTAACAAACTATGACCTTAACAACTCGATGAAATCTGTGCCTAACTAAAGCAGAATGCGAGTGAGCATGTACTTGAACAACAATACGAAAGGCAAGATAGATCGTGTCATGGTGCAGAGACAATAAATCGACTAAGAGGATCCACATCATTTTCTCCACCTGCCTCTGAAATCATCCCCACGGCATTCACAGAACCGCCTCACACGACACCTACGACACCTTCAAGTCACCCAACAACTGAGGGATTAAGTTTCAAGAAATGCATAGGATCACAAGAAACGAAGGTAATGAACAATAAACTTCTTCTTATAGTAGTTGCAAATACCACGCAACCAAATGGGCCTGTTCTTCTGCAGAGGAGAAGTTCCTATCAGAGAATTCTCGCGCTTGAGAACGAACAACTGCAAATTGTGGAAAGAGAACACCTTCTTCCCGTCGATCTATTTCTAAGCCCATCAACATGCTTGATAGTCTACACAGCAGCGACAATGAAGATTAATTGGAGGAAAAATTCCGGTCACGCTTTCAAGGAAATTTCTGCCTTTATTGATGCCATCATTATCAACTGTCACATGAAGGCCATGAGCTACTCTTTCGAAAATTGCTTCGTGGTGAGCTGTTCTGCCGCTTCATTTAATGCACTGGAGATGTTAACAGTGCTCAACATTATTCTTAACTGTTCAACAAGTTCCAGCACAACAACTAATCATCACTACTCACAAGTTCGTGGCTTGTGCCAAAAAAGGAAAAACCATTATGACTACAGATTAAATAAATGTTTCACGTGATTCCGAACGCATCAGCTGCATGAATCAGAAAATAACTTTAGTGTAGATGTGGTACGCAATTTTTTCTCGGTCTTCCATTCATGTTAAACAAGTCACATGTTGCAGATTTTTGAAGGAGAACCAGCATTCACCTCGTCTGTCCTCAGAAGCACACCAAAGTTGGCCGAAGCTGCTGCGGGGTTTGGTATGCAAGTGCACTGCTTCGTGTCGGGCAATCCGCAGTGTACTGAAGATCTCGTCTTGACGTGCATTGAAAGAGTTCGGCAGGAGGCTAAGAAACCATATTCATTCCCGATGCCAGAATGCATGACCGATGGCGAACTGTTTCTTGATCAATTTCCCTCGATTAATCCATTGACCGCACACGCCATCCTCTGCCTCGGTGTTCCTCTTTCAAAGTTTGTGCTCTGGTCGCACGATGATATGGCAAGATCTCTTCAAGACTTTGGGGTGCCTAAGGAAAGCTTGAAGCTGTTCAAATTACATTACGACAATGGAAGACTAACGGAAGAACAATGGCCAGGAAGTACCATGCATTCGGAAGAAACACATCAGGACATTTTCCCTTCTCTCTCACCAGCTTTTGACGAATATGGTGACTTTGACCTAGACATCTCTGATGGCCTCGCAAACAGCGAGCACGGAGACTTGTTTTGCTCTCCTCCTGACCGTATTCTTGGATTGGATCTACTCGGTGATCGTCCACCGAGTGATGAACACATCGCTTCTAACCCTCCTCTGTGTGGGCCTGCTTTGCGATTGGATCCCAAATTCTTTGAAGACTTTACATCAGAAAAGTGTTTTAACTTCTGGGATGAACCCCACCCAGAGTCTGAACTCGATCATTCACCTGTTGAACCATGGCGCGAACAAATTAGACCTACACAACGGACAATCACACAACCCAAAATTGATCGGTCGAAGAAGCCGAAGTACATCCAAAGTTGTCTAGATAAATGGATTGATGACATGAAGCGAGAGAAGAAAAAATTCGTCGATCGTACCAATCGGGAATCCGAGCGCGGGTCTACATTCGACCCAACAAGAGCATCAATCTCTTCGGGGACTAGCCACCAGGATATCTTTTCAACTTTGAAATTTGAGTCCAATCCTCCAAGTAAACGGGAGAACGAAGAAAGCGTCATTAAGAACAAACTCCTTGGGAAGCGAGCAGCGTCCGCTCTAGATCTCTTTCGTCACCAAAAGGGAAAGTCTCTCCCATTGCCGAAGAAGCTTAAGCTACCATTCCGCCCTCATCTCCGTTCCGCTGTGATTGACATTCCCTCTATCCACGCAGCACAAGCTGCACGCCTCTCCAAGCGCATCTGCTTTAACCCCGTCTCCAACCCCTCGAGATTTTCCCGCCCATCGTAGGCACGCTTCCTCAACTCGCCCTAATGGCTGGTTCAATTCGTGTGGAAGACACAGAATCCGATATCTTCTAACATGGCGGTTGAGCCTAGAATCGAGGCAAATTTGCATGCTCTCTGAGTTTCTGTGAGAGAATCTGGTTCAAGTCAACTCGATTACGCTACCGAATCAATCGAACACGTGAAACTGAATTTTGAATTGAGGAATGCTGACACTGTCCATAGTAGAGGCGGGAGATGCTACTGCTCTTGTTCATACTAACATGTTTCTCTTGGTATGATGCAGTATAGTAGTTTGCACAGACATCGATAGGAACTGGTGTGTCTTGAATCATAGGATCACAGCAAGTCACAAATTCATGAAATATCGATTTGTATGTCAAAAGACTCCTGAATTCTTGGCTTCGTTTCCAAGAGCAGCGTTCGTGTATGTACTGTAACCCCAAAAGGCTCAATTGAAGAAAGATTGCGTCAGCGCGTAAGTTGTCGTTCCTATTTTTTGATGAAATATTCTCGGTGCTCTCAGATCATTGTCTACTGATGTCCGCCATTCTTGCCTTTATATGGACATCTCGTGCTCTAATTTAGGGTTTACGAAATCAGACCTTGGGCTGAAATTAGATTTATCAAAACAAATGACAGGACAAAAGGCTCTAATGGCCCGTGACAGGACACAACATACTGCTTGGGAACTGCTTTCATCCAGCCTTCTTGAACAGGAAGTGTCAGGGATATGTTGAGTAATTTAACTGTTGTCTTTATCAATTGCCTCTTTCATCACATGAATATTACCCCGCCTCTGCACATGAATGAATCGACATTGATTACCTGGGGTGATTGTTTAAATGTTTTCTTCAAAATCTCAGGTGTATAAAAAAGCCACTCACAATTTAAGAAAGGGAACAATAAGCTGTGTAAATATATTTATATATATATTCATCCACGTTTAGATATATGTTGTAATGAATAGAGAACATGCTGAGCCACTAATCTGGACTGAATTACAGGTTCAATTCTGCACGACGATGCATCAAACATTGATCGAATGTTCACATTCCTAGAGAAAATAAGCAAATACAAATATAAATAAAATATAATCCTTAATATTTCAAGCCAGGAGATAAATGAATCGAGCCACTTCTTCCCGAAAGGACAAATGTTAGCAAACCGAGACGTCGAAACCTTCTTTTCGCCATTACAACATGAAACCAAAACGATAAATCCGTGTAAAGTCTGTAATGTAATACGAAGTGATCACTTCAACCGTTATTGACTCCAATCATTTGCAATCAGAGAACTTGAATAAAATCAACTGAATATTGGTTTAGGGCCGTGTACTCTTGTAACGGAAACGCAAAGTTCCTTGTTACAAGACAAAAAGAGGTTATAAAAAACTTTATGGTGGGTGTAATAACCGGCTACGAGAACAGAGGAACGGTTCCCGGGGGGCTATAGGGAACGAACGAGATTTTTCAAGTGTCGACGTGGCAATGGCATCTCATCCAATCGGTGGACACAGGGGAGGGAGCGAAATTTGAATGGGTGACCTCAAGATCCCCTTTCACTTGGGCCCTGGGCTTCGGCGTTGTTGTTGTTGCCTTCGGTATTTTGCGTTCATAATTCGACTTTCTCTCCATCACGGAGGTTTTGCTGCGGCTCTCTTTCCTTTGCCGCAGGCACGGCAGGGAGGCAGGCAGGCAGATAGGCAGCAGGCAGGGCAGGCAGCAGGCAGAGAGGGCAGGGCAGGGGCTGAGCTGAGCTTCTTCCCATCCTCGTCGTTATCGTCTTCAAAGCATCGCCTCTCACTCGCTCACTCATTGTCTGTATCCATCAATGCTCGACGACGATGTATGATGCTATGTGGACAGTCCCGAGCATAAGTGCTCTGGGTCTATCACTTTCCCAGGCGGCCTTCCAACTGTCATGTTCCCTTCAATTCAGCTGCTCTACGAAGCTCGCTTGCCAGGCTTCAGGTGGAGTCTCAGGGAACCGAGTGTGCTTTGTTTGATCTTTGCCGGGAGATTGGAGTGCGTGTCGCGTTTGATGAAGTGTCGATGGTACTGAGGCAAGGGTAGTGGATCACGTAGCGATCAACAGTGGTGGCTCCAGCTCTTGCGTGGGAATGCGTTTGTGTGCGTGTGTGTATTTGAGAGAAAAAGAGAGAGAGAGCTGGAGAGTTGGCATGGTAGTTTGTGTAATTGTGATGTGATATGCTGCTGGTGTTACTGAAGTCGAGGAAGAGGAAGATGATGTTGGATTTGGTTGGGTTGTACTGGAATAGGTGATTGATGCTTTGGTTGTAGCGGAGGAGAAGGGCTCATGTTTTGGAGTTTTGGCACGCGGAGAGAGTTTTATCAGACTCATTTTGTATCTGATTTGTTTGGATGCACCGGTTTCTGGAGAAGTGCGTTTTCTGTGCACAAAGGGAGGTCGCTTGCTGACTTGGATGTCGACGAGCAGGTTCGCTTCGAGAGAAATCGATTTCAGCATAACTCGTTAGCTTTCTTTAGGGCTACAACGAGTTTATTTCCTTCTGAAGTAGCATTTCAGCTAGGTGCTAGGTTCTAGCATTAGAACAGAGCGACGTACTCCTTGGTCTAGCTTTGATAGCTTCTGTTTTGCCACAGTGGACTATGAGAAGTCCAGATCTTGACTCGAGCTCGAATTTGAGGGGCTTCAAGCGGTGTGTGAAGCTGAGAAATTACTGTCCTGATCGTGAGGGTTTTTGCGTCAGAGAAGCTGCCTTCGTATTAATTTGTAATATGGTATTTTCTGGTAGGGTTGTATACAAGATACATTTGGGGACTTATTTTACGAGCAATCAAATTTTTGGTCTCGATTGCAGGTTTTTTGCTTTAAATTAAAGAAAGGACTCAAGATACAGTTCTTGCAGGCACACTGCAAGGTTTCTCCGCTGAAGAGTGATTAGGGTAGTTATATAGAGAAAATGGACGCTCTACTCAAAGAGAAAGACAGGGAACGAGAGAAAGAAAATGCTGATCGGGACCGGGAACGTGAGAGGGAGAAAGAGAAGGAGAGAGAAGGAGATGTGGAGGCAGCATTATATACGAACTGTCTCCTCCTTGGACTTGATCCTAATGTGCTTGGGCCGGGAGCTGGTATGCGTGCTGGCCTGTTCAGGCACTCTAATCCTCGTCTCGGTGAAGCACTTCTCCACTTCCTCATGTGCGCATTGAGGGGTCCAAACCTTTCCGCTAAGGTTATTTTATTTTATTTTATTTTATTTTAATTCATGTTTTGTCGTCTTTGATTTCTGGCTTCATTACTTTGTTTCTCATAGGCTGTTTATATGTTCATTCTGAAATCTTACATGTGCAACAGTTCGCTATGCGTATATCTTTGCTCTATCTTCTGGCTTATTTGTAAGAATTGAGCTGTATTATCTTCAACTAAATTCAGATATGTGAGAATATGCCATAATTCAGAAGGATATAAAACTCGTACTATATGTAAAAGTCTAGTATCTGGGTGTTGTGTGGATTTTTGGTTTCAATGCAAAAAATCTGGCAGTTGATTAAAATGTTTTCTATCCAAGCCCCTCCTAAGAGTGAATCTCGATGGTAGTAATTGACTTGGCCTTTATGCCTGAGTTGCATGGACGTGATATGTTCACTTTTGTTTTCCTCGTATTCGTGTCTGGTAGGTTTAGGGTTTTGTTATGTTGTTGACAGAAGAAACATGTATGAAATTGCTGTACAAATCTTGTTGGGTAATACATAAGAAATGCCTTGAAATTAACACAAAAGGATTGATGTTTACGCTTTTGTCTTTTTAAAATTCTCCATGCTTTCTTGACTCTTTGAGATATGCTGAGTTTCTGTTGGGATCTGCTTCCTATCAAATTGGTGAATTTTAAATGTTTATGTGGATTGTGAGTTCAATATATATGGCACTGATTGTGGTTTGCGAATCTTCGTACCATTGACAGGACTTTGCTGGAGTGTGGCCTATTTTTGATGCGGCTCAATCTCGCGATTTCCGCAAAGTAAGCTGTCAAGTTCTTTTTTTTTCCTGTGTCGGCTAGCAAATGCTCTGGAATTAAAAATCATTTTTGGTTAGTCTATCCCGGGATAAGCAACGATAACGGTTTCCCTTGTATAACGTCTACTATCAGAACTACAACTGGTATTTCGTTGAAGTGTATTGTGTATTTTAAATGTCATTTGATTGATTCTCGCTCTTTGTGTTTCTCCTTGCTATTTTCATGTAACGATTGCAGTGTCCAGTTATGGCTTCTTCTACATATTAGTCAATGCATTGAAAGTTCATTCGTGATTTAAGTAGAATAAACTAATTTCTAGTGGCCACTTTCTGTTGGACTTACATTGCAAGTCTTGATTGACGTTAGTGCCTTGATGCAGGTGGTTCAGGGTCTAATCAATGAACTGGAAAGCCAAGGAGCTCTACCTCGAAGCAACTCCCGTGTCTCTTCTCTAGCTACTTGCTGTGGTCAAAGGTGTATTATCACGTACTTTTGAAGTCTATCATGTCAGAATACATGTACGCTTATGTCTTATCGAGCACAATGGGTGATAAGCATGGCGTTGTTTTGCAGATTTGTGGAGCTTTTGTGGCATCTATCAGCTCATGCGTTACGGGAGGTTCATCGACGAACATTCCCAGCAGATGTAGCTTCAAATCCATTACCAGCCTCCCTGACCGAACTCGTTTGTCCAAACACTCGTCCGGTTTCTCTGCTCGCTGTTACCAAGGTACAATTAACGATGAGATATTTTAAATGAATGAAAATAATAATCGTATTGCTATCCATTCGTCTGTTGAGTAGCTGACTGCTCGAATCATTCGCCATCTTAGAATTGTAATTCAAGTAAATACGTATTTCTTCATGCTTGGTACATCTTGGACTACAGGCTCGGATCGCCTTGGAACGTAAGCGATTCATGAAAGGAGCGACTCAAGCTGTGGAAAGGCAGACAAGCTGGTCCAATTTGGCTCATGATATGACAGCTGAGTATCGGGCTTTGTGCGCAGAAGAGGTGCATGCCTAATTAACAGTCATGCTGTGGAAGAGTGAAGTGAACAGTTGTACTGAAGCATTTTGATCAAATGTTATGAATATTTTACACTTGTGGCATTAATCAGTTCAGATATCTTGCAAGGAGAGCTGTGCATCCCATACGTTCAGGACTGTATTACTGCAGTGCTATTTTTCTCTCTGTTGGTTGCTACTTTAACCAACTTTATTTCTGTTGCATTTCGGATCTTTTACACTAATGGGTGCTTCCTTTGATTTGCGTCTGAGTGCATTCTTTTTCTTAGTTCTGACCCAAATCTGCAGTAAGCTCACTATCTATAGTTACTGCATCTTCTCATGAGCAGGCCTTTAATGTGGAGATAACCTTTCATGTAATTTATTGTTTGGATTGCAGGCATTTCAACATCAAGAACTGGAAAAATTACAAGAATCAAGTTACCCCAATGTATCAGATGATTCAGCTGTGAGTGACACAGAAGGGTTTGTTACGTCAATTAGTGCAGGTCCTGTTATAAGAGCCTCTCAGCTATGGAAAGGCATTTTATCACATTCAGGTATGGTTATCAAAACTTCTCAAGACAAATCAGGAGAAGTCGAAGGTGGTGTTGCTCTTACAAATATTTGAATGTCACTTCGAAGTCGAGCGCATGATACCCAGTGAGGGTGACGTATTTCTCTTGTTACTATAAAGGCTTTGTTCGAACATTTTTTTTCGAATAAATAACAGTGCATGATTCGAAAATTGAATTAGTATTCTATGTCTGGTTACAGTTGTCCAACTGAAGGTCCTCTCTAGATCCTATGGCATGTGATACACTTCGGAAAGCCTTTCTGAAGTCTACTCACTTCGTATGATTTTTTCCAGAGAGAGTGGCAGAATTAGCTTCTGGGCCCATTGAGGACCTCATTGCTCGTCGGGAACATAGGTACTATACCCTCATTGGTGTGTGAATAATCATTCTCCAATGGCCTTTATATTTTGTTTTGTTTTTTGTGTTTTGTGATTGTTTTTAGAAAACTGTAATTTACAATTTTATTTCAATGTACATAGACTGGAAGGGAAACCATGCAGACGTTACGAAGCTACTTTTTACATGTTACATTATCCTATTATGCTAATCCAATTCTTTCTGTAGGTACCGGATCGATGGAGCTGTCTTGCGAGCTGCAGTGGACCTTGGATCTGTTAATTTGCCGGTGGAGTCGTCCTCCTGTTCAACTGCTGATTATGACAGCCAACGACCTAGATTTGAGGTTGGTGTATCAACAGAAGATGATAAGTCTACTAAAACTCCACCTCCCGTGGATGTGGGCGAGATCCTGCGTCGCTGGACTCACGCATTGCAGACCGTTCATAAACAAACGCTTCGCTTGGTAAGAACTGTATCTATGTGCATTTATTGTTTTTTTTTTTATATTTGAATTCATTTTTTCCTTCTTCTTCTGTTCCCTGGTCATTTGTGAGATTGTATGTATAATCTTATCTCCATGAAGTGTCGTTCTTTCCACTGATAGAGAATTCTGGTAAATGAACTTTGAAGATATGGATTGTTGGAGCTCTTCAGTGGTGACTTGTGCTTAACTCTTTTCTATGTAGTTGGTAGAGGCTGTCGAGCATGTTATTGTTGCGGATGATTTGACTGAAAAACTAAACTTAAAAAATTATATCGCTGTTCAGATTAGAAAATACTTCAAAATACTTTCGTTGATGTATCTGAGGGTTTTGTTGGGAATTATTCTGTCCGGTTTGGTGTTGAAGGCCAGATCAAACAATGGAGCAGGACCGGAGCTTATGATGGAATCTACACATGGGGAAGAAAGCGTCCATGTGCACAGTCTTCGTACAACTTTGGGGGAGCACAAACAACACTTTTCAAGTCTCCGGGTAAGTCCCACATTTCATGTCTATGTAGTACCAGTACAGGTTTTGAAAAATTTACGCTTTATGGATGATGACAGTTTCATTTGTTGGTCATACTCCACATGAAAAGGATAAATGTGATAATTCAGTGTATATGTCCATAATCTATAACGGGTTTTTCTTATTCCAAAAAATCTTGTAAGCTTATTTTACTGTTTTGTGTTCCTGAATCAGTCCCTCAAGAACCAGTTGGAAGCATCGATGCCAGGGATGGAGGCAGCAATAACAACTCTGCGGGAACGGGTCGATGGTCCTGATACTATGGCTGCATCTCGAGCTGCACAGAATGCTCTAATCGTGACTTCGAAGACCAGCCATTGGGTTGCTACTTCTAGAGTAATTGACCTCCACCCGATCTTCATTGCGCTCGGATGAGATAGATGTTTTATACCTAGATGCTCTTCAGTTCGTTCTGCTCATCAGTAGGTTTATTTTTGCAGGAGGAAGATTTGGAGCAAAGTGCTCTTGAATTTATCAACAACTCCGCGATGCCATTAGAGCTTACACCTCCTAGCCCAGCACTGAAGCTTCCTTATACGTCTCCAAGTGCTAATGGAGTGTCGACATTCTCAAAGGCTGCATCTGGAATTTCATCTATGCCTTCTTTGGACGTGCTGCAAGAACAAGAGGGATTGGAAAGCAATGGTATCGTTTGGAATGGTGGATGTGAGATCACGGAAGGTACGTCATGTCTTTTATCGAGATCTATTCTTGGATGTTTTTTTAGGGGTATGATAATTTTCCGCTAGTTAGATAATACAGTTGTGATTAGCACTTGTTGCTTTGTGTGTTGCTTTTGTATGTTTACTTGGTTGAGCCACCCTATTTTTATTAAGGTGAACTCTGATACTACATTTCTGTGTAAGTTCTGAACACTGAGATTGGCGTTTCTGTTCTTAAAACCCAGCTAATGCTTTGCTGATTTCTATCACTTACTAGTAATTGACTCATCAAATAATAAATGCATTTTAAGACCTTGAGTACTTCAATGCTAATGGTATTAAATAGAGTATTAATGCAGGCAGAAAGAGGGACTAATTTGGATTTTGAAGGGATGGATCCCAAGTTTATGAGTTGTCTCATTGAAATGCTTTTAGGTACACTATGTGTTGATTTATTGACATGGTTATTGAAAATTTTGACGAAGCATTCTGGAGGAAGTGATCACTGTTCCACATCAAATTTGTTACAGTTTTTCTAAAATAGAGTTCATATTTTCTAAATCTGAGAGACATGGAATGCAGGTATCTCCTCTTTGCGTCAAGCAGTTATTGAAGCTGCTCTTCAGAAGCCTAACTCTGTTGTCAGGGACATAACACAGCAGCCTACTAATACAGAACATTATTTTACTCCTGTGAGTCCCTTCCAAATGCATGCAAAGAGTAGCAGGGAAATAGTCTCTGTGGTCACGGACACTAACCAGCCACCAACCTACATTGGCAAGGATGATGTTCCTACATTCATTCCCAGTGAAAACCGGGACAGAACGGTGGAGGAGAAGAATGGATATGTAGCAGATCCACAAAATTTTGTGCGGAGAGGCGTGAGCCCCATGTCGCGGAAGGGATTAAATGGGAGACAGCATGTGGAGCGTAGCAGTTGGAAGAGCCCACATGATCTGCCCCAAAGAACGTCAGAATTACATGTTCATGATTTCCAGCCGTTATCGCCGTCCCTATTCTTGGATTGCAATTCTTTCGACAGAACATTTGACGGAACATATGATAATCTCTTGGGTATGGGCTTTCAGTCTCTTTCTAGATTTCTCTGTTTGGAGACGACTGTTTTGCCAGACCATACGATAATTTTCTTACTAAATTCTTCTTTCTTCTTTATACATTTAGCAAGTCCATGGACATAGATTCAGCCGATTGAAAACATGAATTTGTATTGAACGTTTTTCTTACTGAAAAACACCGATTTTAATCTGTTGATGTTTTCATGCAGCACCTATGACTGATCTGGATTCGGCTTTTATGAGCATCGGTGATCGAAGAGAGACACGTGCAATATGATAAAAGCTTTGAACCAGCCACGGCTGCTCGAATCCAACTTGCTGCTATTTTCACTGCCACTGTAGTCCATTTATATCCCATTCGCGACTTTTGTCTGGGTTGATCAAAATTTCTGAAAATGGACGAGTGCAGAATGAAGACTGCGGTTCTGGAATGGCAAGGAACTAAAAATTTACTGCTAGTAGCTTTGCAACCTGGTAAGCATGTGTGAGCTTCATCGATCGATATATTGCCTCGAATGCGGTCATATCTTTAATTGGATTGCATTGTAGCAGACCGTTCTTATCACAGTCTTCGCAAGTAATGATAATCCAAGTTTCCTGGGTCGCATGGAAGCTTGTCACGCATGTAAGGATCCGCTTCATTGATGCCGAGGGACCATTGTGAAAACGAGGGATGGTGATTTCCTCTCATCACCAGTTAAAACCACTTCCATAATTATGGAGTGGTCAATATTAAGTGATCTCCACTTGTAAGCTATGCGATGCCCTTGTATTGTAAAATGACTACGTCCCAGACGCCACAGATGTTAGTATCTAAGATGTAGTGATCGAGATTTGATTACAGTTGCTGCCACCCAGCGCTTAGAATGAAAATGTAGTCCTTCACGACTTGAGAATGACTTGGTACATACAGAAATGAATATTCCACATGGTGCTTCGAAATAACATTACTCATGTGTACTTTACTGGAATATTTATCATATTAAGTTGTGTATGGGGTCATCAAATATGTAATTAAACTTGAGAGTTACTACTAATTTGGCTCTTTCATTGTATGAAAAGTTGCCCTTACAAGATTGAGAATAATTCAGTTGCCATGACGACGGTAGCTATCTCCAATTTCTGAAAAGATTAAATTCCTCTTAATTATTGCAAATGCTCTTATCCTGAATTAGGTAGGAAATTGAAGAATTAAGTATGAAACAAAAATAAATAAAAAGTGCTGGATAAATAAATTTAGTTATAGGTTGAAAATGTCTGAATATGATAATTGTACAGGTCGTAAGCTTGTTTGCATGTGCGGATTATTTCTTTTACTCATTGTGATTCAATTTTATGTAACTTTATTCAACACAATATTGGTTACAGAATATTGGAAATGGCGTTCTAATAAACATTATAAATAGACATATTATATATATTTCCGTAAATAACATCCTTTTACTAGAGAATTAATGTATTTTGAATTTAATGTTTTTACATGGGCTGTATACTATATGTTATTTGTAAATTCTTAAATGAAGTAATCCTCACATATTATGATTCAAAGTCTGATTGACATACAAGTTTATATCAAAATCAATGCTATTAGACTTTATTTTGTTACATATGTATAAAATTCAATACCTTTAAATGTAGACTTTTAAGATACTTCCTACACAAGTTTGATTTTTAAAACTCTATTGTATTATCTATAGGGCACAAATGTTTTGGTACTCTCTATGATTAAATCAATGATCTAATTAGAGTTCCTACAAGCACTCACATTAGGTTCTCTATACCAACACAATTCTTGCACTACACTTGCCCAACACCTATTGCAAACTCTTATTTTACTTGGTCAAACAAGCAAAAGAAGACACTCTTATGAAATGCAAATGAAGTGAGGATAAGTGAGAAATAAGCAAGGTTGAAATGTTGTGAGGTTATAATGTAACAAAGCAATGTACTTGTTGGTAAGGTGGTGAGGTTGTGGAAGTTCTAATAAAGTCATCAACTTGATTGAGAGGGGGGGTACCAAAATATCTGTGCCCCATTTATATTGTGTTTTTGTAGAATCTAAGAATTTAAAACATATTTTAAATTTTAATCTAACCATTAAATCATACTTTATTATGGTCCTTATTATGTAAAAAATAAATTATATAGATTTAAAATATTGTAAAATTGTACAAAACATATAAAATGAGCATCCATTTATTCATGTAAAGTATTGCCATGTTCCTCAATATAACAAATATTACAGTATATTACCTCAATAATATGCATGTACAATGTCAATTAGTAAATTTTTAATGTAATAAGATTTATGTTTTTACTTTTGATAACCATAACACTATTAGTAATTTATTGGCCTATCTGTAAAATAACAATTATATAGAAACTATAAAAAAAATAAAAATAAAATAATAGCATTATTACACATATGTTATAAAAATTTCTATTATAAAATATTGTAAGTTTTTAAAAAGTTGTATATATATATATATATATATATATATATATATATGTAACAACATTTTTTAAAATAACAACATATTTAAAGTAACAACATTTTTAAAGTAACAACATTTTTTATTACAGATATTTGTATTTGAATAATTCCTAAAATAAACCTTTATTTAATAAAACACAAAAACTATTTATGTTACATGACTATTAATAATATGCTCTTGAAACATTAGTATAAAAAATACCATTTTTCTAGAAAAGTGCACTAATATGCCAATGTCATAGGTCTAATTAATGTATGTGCAAATGTCATAGATGATGTTATCTTAATATTTTAAATTTATATACATAATACATCCAGGCGAAAAAGAAAGAAAATGCATAATGTTTTATACATGATTAAATAACTTTTTGCATTAGGTGTTCTTACATTCAAGGCTCTCCTTCATCAATACAAACACACACCACTTCAGCAAATCACAATAGACAATACAAAATCTTTCACTAAACCACAATCTCACGCTCCATATATTTGCCATAATGAATCAAGCAACACAACTAAGTGAACATAACTTCAGAAACAAAGCGCAGGCACCTGAATTTAGGCTATGAAAAAATAAAAAAAATAAAATAAAAAAAATAAAAAACTCATTAGATGAACAATAATTGAAGTATACATCCCCGATATGAGCTCACCAAATATCCTGTGCAAGTAGAAATAACAAAGATTAAGAACAATGCCGCACAGAGTTTAAAATAAAAAAAAAAGAACAAACGTAGGACAAAGATGAGGGGTGGTCGACGAGGAGTTAACATTTATCCAGCTTTCGGGTATTTCGACTACGAAGGTCCGAAACTCTGTGGTGCGGGCCTCTTACACAAAATATAGATCGTCGTCATGGAGTTCTGGCTATGGCGTTTTATGGTTTCGAGCAATCACGAGATGATTCGGAATAAAAAGAGGGGGAGTAGAAAATTTCCAGGAGTTGCTCACGGTTGGTCGTGTGAGCGTGTTTGAGAATCGATGGGCTCGTTAGAGGAAAACGCGCCCGCGGGGCGGGGAAAGGGAGTGAAGACTGTAGGTGGAGCTTTTCGTGAGATCCCAATTGCGAACAATTTGCCGCAGGCTGCGGCTGCGATGGACAATTCGCAGCAGCAGCAAAATAACGCGGGCAATCATCACGAAGTGTATGTCGCGGCAGCAGCTATGAACGGTTTCAAGAAGCGCAGAACGATACAGCTGCCGCTGGAAGTGGGCACGAGGGTTCTATGTCGATGACGGGATGGGAAATTGCATTCGGTGAAGGTCATAGAGCGTCGCAAGCTTAGCAGCACGAGCTCAGATAATTATCAGTATTATGTGCACTACAACGAGTTCAACAGGCGTCTGGACGAGTGGGTTACGTTGAACCAGCTCGAGCTTGAGTCCGTGGTTGCGGATGCCGACGAAGTGGGAACTCCTGAACGTCCCCTTTCAGATCTTGGGCTGCTTAGTTATCGAGGCTATTGGACATGGATACTTTTGGACATTCTAACGAAACGTCGAGGCAATGTGTCCATTTAGGTAAACGAACTACATTCTACCTGCCTAAACCAGAGTTGGAACAAAATATGCCTGGCTGCACAGATACTCTTTATTCGAAATATGAGCAGTTTCATTGGTTGTTCCATGCTTGTGAATTTTTCCTTCAAATCATGCTTTTTCAAAACATTAGAGTAAAAGTCGCATTTTGAGTTTACAAGATTCAGTGGGTCAGCAGAGCTTGTATAACATATACTACTTCCGTCTTTCATCTTAAGCTGGGATCAGGGGCTGAATGAATACAGAATGGGTAATGAATCCTTGGTGTACTTGTAGGAGTTAAGTGACATGACGGCAATTAAGACTGAGGACATTATCACCACCCTTCAGTCTCTTGAGCTTATCCAGTACCGCAAAGGCCAGCATGTTATATGTGCCGATCCAAAGTTATTAGACTAGAATTTGAAAGCTGCAGGAAGTGGCGGCCTGAAACTAGATTCCTCCAAATTAATTTGGACCCCTTACAAGAAACAAGGAGGATAAGGAGCTTCAATGTTGGCATCTAACCTGCATGGAAGCGAACGATACTCACGCAAGCTTTTACAGTGCACATTTGTTGACATATATCAAGTGTTTGCCTCAGGATGCTAGGAATTTAATGGAGGGTACAAATCAGCAGCGAATTATTTGATCGTGTGTAAACGTCGAGGTGGATGAAGATATGCTTGATTAGCTGCCACTGTAAGAATTTGGTGGCATTAGTACCCTTCTCTGCATGTATATCTCTGTATCATTCGTCACACTTGAAAGTTATATTTGATAGAACCACGAGGTGCAATGCTTTATATAGAAATTTATCATTTGTGAAGGATGGAAAGTTCCTCATTGTAATGTATTCAAATAGTACAATCATTTTTTTAGTTATTTGGTTCTTTCCAGGTGATGGTATTATTCCCTTCTTTTTATTGCAGTGTGTCAAACCCGTTAATAATGGAAATGGATAGAATTTACTCAACGACCTTGTTGTCATAGCTGGAGGGTTTGTGTCGATAATTATGGTGAGATTGCCGAAGGCCATCAACTATTTTCAAAGCTTAAATAACTGGGTTCTATCACAGTGGTTGTTACAAGAACTGTCATGGATATAAAATTGGGTACAAACCAAAACACTTGAGGTGGGGAGAAGTTTAAAAAAAAACTATACTGCAGCTTAGTTCAGATTGAAAAAAAAAAAAAAAAAAAAAAAAACCATTTACATAGTTAACTGGACATTTCGCATCCTGGACATTGAAATAATTCAGATTATTCGTTAATAAGAAGTGAGAAGTGCATGCCTAAATTAACTTGAATGATAGAACTTCCTCTTTATAAACATTAGTTACAAAAGACTGTAAAGTAGTCATTGTTTAAACTTACAGAAGCAATTGATGCTTGGAAATAGTTCAACATTACCTACAGACATACTTGCACGATACAAATAAATCAAAAAAAATCAGGAGTGGTTGTGTAACAACATGCACTTTTAAAAACATCTATTTGTATTTCCTTGAGGCAAATTAACCCTTCATTTTCATCAATTTTAATCTAATGGATCATGGCAATTCAAATTGTAAACATGTATTGCACCAATATAATTATTTTAAAATTTTCATTATTAATTTTTAAAAGAAGACAATGTTTAAATTGTTATATATATATATATATATAAACATACACACATATATAGGGAGTTATTAAAGCCAAGTTATTATACCCTAAACCCTAAATCCTAAACCTGGTACGGATTTAAAAGAGGTGATATAATAAGAATAGAAAGAGATTACTGCAATGAAGTTTACTACAAAATAGTAATATAAAAAAGTAAAAAATATTAATGTAGAAAGGTACTTTTTACACTGGTGTTATTTTTTTATACTTATCAAGAGACATGGATTCTTATATGATAAAAGAGGTAACCTTAGTCTGGCACATTAGCGATACAGATGGAAATACACTTTTTGATACTATAT